TAGCCCGTGCCATAGGATGGCATGGGGCCTGAGAGCTAATGGCCCTTGTCGTCATCATCATCATCATCATCATCATCCTTGTCATCTCCTACTGTGCTTTTGGGCGACCCTGTCGTCTGGTAGTTTTTGTTTGTTTGTTCATCTCAGGGTCTGCGCCGTCGCTCAGCTGCGGTCCGCTCCGCAGCTGCGGTCCACTTTCTTGGCCGAGCTGTGAAGGTCTCAAGCGACGTGTCGGTCTAGGCGGTGCGACGTGTCGGGCCTTAAGAAAGAGACCGGAGATCCAATTTAGAATTATACTAGATACATATCTACTATCTATAGTATATAATATATATAAAATATAATATAAATATATACTCATGCTGTAATCATGAAGCTCATAGATAGAATTATATATATACATAGAGTTAATCACAGTTATACACAGCTATACATGTTTCATACAATGACATCTTTAAAAACTCATCTATGTCCAACATGGGAACAAACTAGGAGGTCTCAAGGATTTTGAGAGTGAAGCATGATTAAGTCCAAATGATGTGGACATGGTAGTCACGTTGGCCACAAGCAAATCATTCTCAGCCAAAAAACACTTTCAGCCAACCACGCGGCTACTTCTCAGCCAAAGCGCTGGTTTATTGGATTGCTTGGCACAATCCTCATGAACGCCTTGAGAGGCCTTCCTTTCATGCTGCCTGCCATGGCACAGCCGCCAATTCGGGAAGGCTTGCCCCCTGCACCGGGGCTAGCACCACCTCTGCATGGAAAGGATTGCCTGGTATTGCCTGATTGGTGCGTTGAGGGCGACTCCATCAAGAATGGGCAGCTGTGCACCACTCAATGCGATTCCGGATTCCAGCCCAATGTCGTCAGTTTGGCGTGCGTCGACGGAGCTTTGTTCCCAGACTACTTTGAGTGCTTGAAAGGCAAGCAGAAGAGCTTGGCATCGCTGATCGCAGGGCTTTGTGCGATGTCGGTGTGTGTCCTGTGGCTCATAGGAATGTTTTGCTCTGGCATCAGTGCAGCACGCACACCCAAGAGGGGGCCAGATCCGGATGATGCCGAAGATGAGCTAGAGCCACTGGCCACCACCGCGAGTCCCACAAACCAACCTCTTCTTGCAAGCGAAGATCAAGAGTGAAACGACAGCAATGACCACATCATCCATGAGCCAAAGCTGTTCAACGTCGACTCGGGAAAAAGGGCCCCCCTCAGCATCGCACAAATGTTCTGGTCGTTTGGTGTCGAAGCATGATCGCAGTAGCGCAGTAGCATTCCAGTATCCGGTTCAAACCATGCAAGCCAACGATCCAACAACTACTGATCGAACTACCCGCTTCAAGAGGTTGGTAAACAGCTGTTGCTTGATATGGGCTCCTGAGGTCCGGGTGTTCCTGGCGTTTTCTCATTTGTTTGTCTCAGGGGCCCTCCAAAACCATGCCATGAGTGTTCTGAAGCTGGCAGCTTGTTGTCCTTTCCACCCTCCCACCCCCCTTCTGTCCTCTCATACCTCGATCTTCGGAACAGTATTCCATGGCATTCCATGGCCATATATGCCGATCAGTTGGGGTGGTTGACTGGGGGTCAATGGGGCGGCAGTCCTATGGCAGTCCCATGGGTTGTGTCTGGAATATGGAACAATAACTTAGGAATCATACCGTGGAGGAGGGGGGGTCTTCATCCGCTCGGTCCAAGAAATACGGTCTCCCTGGTGTTATCGGTCGATGTATCCCTAGGGCTCCAACCATATGAGAAAGAAGGTGGTTAGACTCCCCTGGCACCCAGCCTAACCACCTTGTCAGGATAGGGTGTATACCATGTCCTACTGATGTCGGTCTGGAGTGAATGGACGATGAATCGCTTGATGGGGTCGAACACGGGGGTCGACCTCACCGAGACCGGGGGTCGAAGAATGCACTCCGCGACCGCGTCGAGATTCATCGGGGTCTTCCTGCGTGCACAGGACCGAGACGAGACCCAAGATCTTGATATGGCTTTCAGACTCTCCAATGACTTGCTGCAAGCTGTGGCCAGCACCGTCTGCACGGGTTGTGACATCGTCCAAGCATTGGATGGCCTGCTGGAATATGTGCAGCAGCATGAACACAATGACGATCTGGAGGTTCAGCAGCTGGGGGCTCAGTTGAGCAATAGCCAGAAACCTCCCTTGACATCCCTTGACATTCCATTAAACATCTATGTCATAGAGGTGTAATCATACGTATTGGCCGAAGCTCAGTTGCACTTGTTGTTTCCGATTGTTGTGGTTGCTGGTGCTGATGCTGGTCGTTGTCGTCGTTCTTTTCGCGGTCGCTGGTCTTGGCTGTGGCTTGTCTTTGGTTGCGGCTGGTCCTGGTCGTGGTCGTGGTTGCTCTTCTTGTTCGAAGAAGGCATGAAACGGTCGTGGATGTGCTGAAGACCATCAGAGACAAGGGCTGATAGGTAGACCCCTTGGCCCAATGTGTTTTGGTCATATCTCCCTTCCAGGGTGTCGAACTGGGAGGTCGCCCTATCACACTCAATTTCACACGACCATCGTTAAAGCATAAGGGGCAAGCCTGGGAACTCGATTGAGATATGTCACAGGAGGCTGCGCAAGGCCGGTGATGTCGCCCCTTCGTGAACCGAAACGCTGCACTCGCCTCACGTGTGGTATACAAAACGTGTGGCTTGTGCTGCAGATCGGAGCGACAATATCCCAAAACACACTTCTGAGTGGCTATTAAGACTTGGCGTTAGTCACTCGCTGGTTCGTCTGGACCCATGCAGTCATTTACAATCCGAACCCGGAGATGTACTTGATTGAAACGCTGCAAAGGCAACCTTGATACAAGAAATGATATGACATTTTCCATTCCGCCATCTTTTATGGTTTAAGCCCACCATCCCGCCAAAGGAGAACAAGACAAACAGCAGGTTAGAAGTCATTCATCTCTATGACAACGACGCATCCCGACGCATCCTTGGTTCCCAATGCATCGAGGCTGAACAACGAGCTGGAGCAGGACAGCCTCCTTCGTGTCTTCCGGTCTGGCCATGGCCGCACTGAAGACAACATCCTCCACTGCAGCTGGTCCCTTGTGCTTCATTCATTCGAGTATGGCGCAGATGGTACTGGGCGTATGGCGCTGGCAAGACTATTTACGTATATTTACGTATAATATGACATTATATGACGACCAAAGGTGTTTCCACTTGCAAAGGTGAGTCAAAGTGTAACATGTGTACAAAAATAGGGAAACTAACAGGCTGCGTAAAGGACAACAACTGCAACAGCCCAGATCGTTTTCCACTTTACGATTATTTCAGGGAGTGCTTTCCAGCATTTTGCGCAGTATATCCAGGTCTTTCTCCAACAAGTTACATGTACAGCACATAGTGTGGCACATAGCCTAAGAAAACAGGGACCTGTATGAGATCTACAAGCTGCGCTCGCTTGGGTCGGCCGCAGCTTGCTTCGCCAAGCTGCTCCGACTTCTCAGCTTAAGGGATCGACGATAGACAGCATGTAGCCTCAAAGAAACACCATGTTGCCATGCATCACCCAGCTCCATGAGATCGCATGACATTTAAACATAGCATCGTCATCCAAAAACGGAGCTTTTCGCGCCCAAAAAAGGGACAGATTGGCCCGGCCCGACGTGGGGGGGAAGAAGCGGCCAAAGCGGACAGCGCCCGGAGGTTGGATGCCTTGGACGAGCCCTTGGGTGCGTTATGGTCCTCCCGTGCTGGGTTGGAGTCCGAGTCAGTCGAGCTCGGTGCCACGTTCCGAGTTCGGAGGAAGGAGCTTGGCTCCGTGCCCCGAACGGAGCCATCCACACATCCACTGACTTGGGGATTAAACACCACCCCGAACATGTGACTTCTGGTTTGTCTTCTCGCATGTCGTTGAGACCAAAAAGGAAGCTGATAGCGTGTTACAATGCACGACAGTCCCTGAACGTTGTTCGGATCTTTTTGAGGGTTTTATGGATGCTTTTGCTCGCCTAGCTCGAACTTTTGCCCCTTTCTTCACCAAGGTGTATCATCAGATCTATCCAATAGTATATTCACTTTTCTCATTTTTGTTCCAGCTTGGAGTCAGTTCGTTGGGTATGACATCAGATCAATCTGAGAGGCTCTGGCAGACTGCTCATTATCTTTCCAAAAAACTTGGTCCGGTCAGACTTCCATCAGACTTCTCACGCTAAAGATGTCTCTGCGCTGTATTCGCCAGGCTCTCGAGCTACAACTTCCAACACAATCGTCCCAAGTTCCGCGGCGTGCGCTTGCCACAGCCCAGATCGGGCCGTGGCCCAAGGAAGATGGTCTTTTAGGCCTTGATGAGGATAGTGTTTCACCAATTAGTAGACCATTATTTTCCCCCATCCCTGTCGTGAGCTTTCATCCCTCAGGCCTTGATGAGGCCCCTTCTTTCTTACATGAAGAAACATGGCGAAGCAACAGGTGATTGTTCCGTTGAAGCGAACTGTGTCACGTTAAGTTAAGACACGGCTGCGCTGGTCGTTTTGAGGTGCTGTGCGCTTGTCGTTTTGGCGAAGCTCCTTTACGATCGCTCCTCATGCGAAGCGGGGCACGCGGGCAGTGCGGGTCACCTATGCCCTGGCGCGCAGACCCTCGTCAGCTGCCTGCATCTTCCCAAGCATCATGCATCGCGAGGTGCACGGTGCCGTCGACTCGGCGAAGACGGTTTGAGCAGGTTTGCACCAGATCCCTAGATTCTAAAGCCAAACATGACCTCTGTTTTGATAGTTGTGGTTGTATGTTCTAATAGGAAAAGAAAGGACACTGACTCACAGGACCATATTCTGATGCAACAGGCCGAGGGTCACTCTGGTCTACCGCGGGCTGCGCTCGCTGCGCGGTACGGTACTTTACACTTGAAGCACCTCATTTCACTGTGTCCAGTCCAGTCATTCAAAAACAATCAAACACAGTTAACACATTCAATGATTCCAAGAGGTCAGGTTTTACACCAGGTTTTACGCCAGGCCCTTGGACTGGTATACCCTAAGAGTCAGAACGGTCAGTTGGTTTGTTGTTCACAGAAGGACATGATGGTCACAGAACGTCACAGGGGGCGCCTGAGTCACGACCCGTCTCGGAGAGCGAACGAACCGTTGGACGTGCTGACCACCGCTCTGCAGCTCTGACCGTCTCTGACGTGCTGATGCTGACCGTCTGTGAAACGCGACGTTCTGTCATAGGTACAAATCGTTTTTCACATATCTCCGATCCATTTAGGGACATCGTCGGACATCCTGTACAGTTTTCAAGCAAATCATCCCATCCAGCTGAGGATGACGGTCTATTCTTTGCCGATGGTTGCCTCCCCTGTTGCCATGTTCATCATGCAGCCTTTGTGAAGGGTCAAAGGCGCCTGCTTTCTTCCACTGCAGGTGGGCAGGATGTTGACCAGATTCAAGCAGTTCCTCCAGACGCGCGAGCTCTCGGGTTCCCCCGACAGCTCCGAGCAGCGCAGCGCCAAGATCTACGAGTGCATTCGAAGGCCCAACCTTTGCTCGCGCTGGGCCTGGCGGAATGGGTCCCCACCTGAGCTCGGGCGGGAAATCAGCGAGGTTGAAGGGTTGACCCATTCTTCATTCCGGTCAGTTACTGTAGGTGTCTTGAAGTCCATGTTGGGACATTTTGGGATGTGGGATGATATGGAGGTGTCGAACTTGATATCTATAAATAACTATACATAGAAGTAAACCAGTTTACCCATATAAACATATACACACGTCCATCTCAAGCTCTTGTTCGAAGCGCGTCATCGAGTTCACGAGCGAACAGAACGTTCTGGTCAGCATTCCTCGGGCCGGCCGTCCCTGCGGGGGGCGGCCGTGATTGGAATGAAGGGATTCGTGGACGTCCAAATCCGAGATTCGAAGTCCCTCCACGAGACCTGAGAATACTTTGCCTGGAATCTTCACGTTACGTGGATGGCATGGCCCCGAGTTTGGATGACCATGAAATCCACGAACCAAACAGGTGGTGAACTTCACTTCCATGATAGTTCCAGGGAGAGTAGTAGTAACAAGGACGCTACTAGTAACAAGTGCATCGCTTCTAGTAACAAGTGCCTTACTAGTAGTAACAAGAAGCTATTAGAAACAAGTGCCTTACTAGTAGTAACAAGGACGCTACTAGTAACAAGTGCATCGCTTCTAGTAACAAGTGCCTTACTAGTAGTAACAAGAAGCGATTAGAAACAATAAATATTACTTCGAGAAGAGTACAGGACCTGGTCAGACACATCGGTGGATCGGTAGACCAGACTCTCTTGCGTACAGGACCTAGACTCCTTCTGCTGCCAGGCATGTGGTGGAGTGTGCAGCAAAGAGAAGTCGCGAAATCCAAGAGGTCTCCTTCCAGGACAGGAGACTCGGTGGAGTCTATCCGGGAATCTGGGTGGTCCCTGCATGCAGCGCCTCTCGCTGGTCGCATACTCACACAGCTCAGGGGAGGGGAGGCATTCTTCGTTGGGTTATATAGCCACAATCTCCAAAATGGAATCCAGGGAGAACCGAGGCCATCGCTACTAGGTTGGAGGCCATCGCTAGGTGTCGGCCCGAGCTCCTACCAGCAGGTACACCCGTGCAGGCCAAAGGCACGGGAGGGAATGTTTGACCCTGAGCCATGGATCGAAAGCGAGCCTGATGGTGGGACGATCACCATTTCAGGCAAAGCCTGGTTCTACGACCACCAAAGGTCCGCCTTTCATTGCACATCGTTGATGAAAGGCCAACGGTTTCTACTAGCTGGAGTGAAGCTCACTGGAGATCGTTTCTCGGTCATTGCCGCCTCCAAAAGGACCCAAGACGGACTTCAAGTTCTGGAAGCACAACCTTCCTCGATCCAGATCCATGCCATAGCAGATAGCTCGACTGCAACAGAAGTCATTGACATCTGCTCTGGATATGCCATCATGACAGCTGGATATAAATACCTCAATTGTCGGGTCCGTTGCCACGTGGAGATCAACCCGACCTATGCAGGATGGTTGAAGGCAAAGCGAGAGCCGGTCATCCAAGGTGACATCAGCAGCCCCCAGGTCTTGCAAGCACTGTTAGAGTACACTGCCACGCCATGCATTGTTACTGGAGGATTCGCCTGCCAGCCGTTTTCGGCATTGGGGGACCGCAGACAACAATTAGACCCTCGAGCAAGAAGCTTTGAAGGCATGGTCATGGTGGGCTATGTTCACCAGCCACTGGCACTCATCCTCGAATGCACCAAGGAGGCCATGATGTCGACCTGGGTACAGGATACATTGAGGGCATTTTGCCAAAACACTGGCTACCGTATGCAGCAACAGACCTGCAGTCTCCAAGACTTTTGGCCAGCAAAGAGGACACGATGGTGGGCGGTCATCACACACCCACATATCAAGATGCCAGATCTCCGAGGTTTTCCATCTTTGGACTTCAAACCCGCCTTCCGACACCTGCTGCCCAAGTTGCCTAGGTGGCCTGATAGCCATGTAGAGGAGCTGCAACTCACACCAGACGAGCTTGAGGTCTTTGCGACACAGCCCGGAGGACTGGGTCAGAATGCAGTTTGCCCCACCAAACCATTGTCGACGGCACTCCATGCATGGGGCTCTCAACTAAGAGCATGCGCTTGCGGATGCAGGGCAGGAGGATTCTCCCCCCAAAGACTTGAAGACAAAGGATTGTATGGGGCTCTCATCCCACTCGAAGGCACCACGCAGGTGAGAGGACAAGATATAGCCAACATGAGACATGTCCACCCGGACGAAGTTGCAGTGTTACACCTGGTCCCCACTGACCATTTGGAGCATCCGGACACCAGACGACTCAGGTTGGATCTCACTGCATTAGGTCAGATGGCCTCACCAGCTCAGGCATTGTGGCACGTCTCACAAGTAGTGCAAGCCCTACGTCATGCCTTTGGGGAGGACGTCCCACAGTCTTTGCCAGAGCAAAGCCTCCTGCAGTTGAGTATTGCAACTTTCGAAGCCCGTGACATGATGCTGCAGCCATTTGCCCATACACGAGAATCCATGCTGTTTCAAACGGCAGTGCTCGCAAAGTTTGGGGTGCGGTATGATTGCCCGCCCCACCAAGCTGCAGGGACAGTCTCCCCAGGCACAAGTGAAAGCCATGCTTCGATTAGAGAAACCAACAAGCGTAAAGCAGAAGATGAGCTATCCCTTTCAAGCACAAGTTGTTTGTTCCAAGGGGTTTCGCCTACCGGGGGTTTAGAGTTTTTCGCAAACAGGACCATGACCCATGCAAGCGTTGATTATGCACACCCATCCGGTCATTCGGCACCCATTCGCCCACAGTCATGTCAGGGAAACCACCAAGCCCCGGAGCGAGCTGTCACCACATCGCTAGACTTCGCAGGGGACCAAACACAGGTGCTTGATCTACCATCCCATGCCATAGTCAGCCATGCCAGGGGCAAAGGGAAAGGGGGGATAAGTCCCTTTCGAGTTGACCTTCATGAGCCGAGCCAGACCCATAAGCAGAATGCTGCCCTCGTGCCTCCGACACAGGTTCATCCGGACCAGCAGAGCCCTTCTGCGGCCGATGCAGAGACAGAGGATCCAGACCCACCGGCTGATGACGCACGAAGCTCAATGATTGCTCAGCAACTCCTGCCTAAGAACAAGTTTCAGGTAGTGGTGTGCCGTCAGGGAGGTGAGCCATTTCGCATGCAGGTCTCACCGGGAGCCACAGTCGGCCAACTGTCACAGGCCGAAGCCGAAGCCACTTGCCTCCCACAACCAATTGTCATTAAGACTTTGACAGGGATTCCACATCCACTCAACAGTTTCTTGACGCCAGGGACCTGGTATGTGGTTGATAATGGTGCAATCCACTCCCTGCCCAAATGCTCCCAGGTCCATGCCCATCAGGCGATCACTCTCGACCTCCAAGGCTCAAGCAGGTTCCATGGACTTCTAGAACAAGGCCCACTAGTTGCAGTTGATGAAATGTGTCACTATGTGCGCCTTCTGCGCAACCAAGGGTACCAAGTTGCCGACCCAATCGTGCTGGATAGTGCCCAAGATCTAGATCAATCAGTGGCCACATGGGCACTCCAATGCCTACATGCCTTCGACATTGACCATCGGCAGAGCATTTTTATGGCACCACTCCTATGCCTCAGTCATTGGAGCCCAATAGCATTGCATGTCTCGCCCACCGCAAAGACCTTGCTTGTCCCGCAGGACATTCAGAAGCACATCACCCAGCTCATCACTGAGGCACTCGGCCCGTTTGAGCTGACCGTCGAATCGTTTCTGCTGCCATCAGAGTTTGCGGCGGACTGTGGATTCCAAACCGTTGGGTGGTTCTTTTCCCATGGGTTAGGAGCGCCATTTACGAAGGCCACCACGGCAGTGCAAGCAGATCACTGGAGAGTCCCATTTGCCCAATCCATCATTCAGCCGATGCGACCATGCACTGAGGCCATCCGGCTGGGAGGCACGCTCCAGCCCGAACAACTTCTGCTACAAGCGGTGTTGAAACAGCATGGAGTTCATCAAGATCGGCTTAGTTCTTGCGCCACCAATCTCCTACAACACTTAGGAGCCGAGGCCATCAACAAAGCACTGGGCAGTTCACAACCGTGGAAAGACCTGAAGACGTTGGCCTCCCAGGCCTCACCGCCGATTCGCATTGTGCTTGCAGCAGAGATCGATGATGCTATTCAGAAAAGACTTGCTTCCGGAAAACCAGTTGGCAACAAGGCCAACAAGAAGCCACCCCATAAGGGACAAAAGCCTCCAGTCATTCCTTCGGCCGACCAGATCAAGTTGCCAGATGCAATTTTTGCACAATCGGATGGACAAAAATTACCATCCATCCCACTGCACAAAGTAGAAGCACATGCTCAGGGTGTTGCGTTGTGCAACATAGGCGAAGTGACACACTTCCTAAGCCTGTCAGCCCCGATTTCCACAGAAGGGGTAGCCTTGCTTATTTTGGACCACACCGACATTCGCCTGCCAGAGCACGTTGAACGCATCCGAGTTCCTGCCATGTCCGCCTCCACAGGTGAACCTATGCTTGTGTCAGCCGCTATGTTGCAACTGGGAGGTAAGAGGGTCGTTCGATTTGTGCCCAAAGAAAGTTTCGCCCTCGAAGAGATCCAAACCCGAGTACTGAAAGTCCTGGTCTACAAGGATGAATGGAATGGCCAATGGAGTTCATTTATCAAGCATCCTGTCAAAGCCATTTTCGAGCACACACTCATGCAGGATCCAGCTTTCCCACAAGCAGAACACATCATCGATGTCTGGGACCGGCAAACCCTTGATGCAAAGCTCGCCCGAGCTCAGACGGACCAAGCCGAGGTTTTTGCTTTCATGATTCGAGTCACTGAGGGATTTGCTGAGGTGATCATGCCGAGTGCAGCAGTCGATGGCATTTACCTCGAACCGCGCACACTCGATGGCCGAAAGCCGGACCCGCACTATCGGGTCATTTGGATGCCGCGTCAGTCCTTAGCCCAAGTCAGATTAGCTCGTAGCCAGACAGAAGCCAAGACTACGATAGCCAGAATGGGCAACAGATTCGGCCTGAGGGTAGATCGACACAAAGCCGAACAAGTCCATGTGCAGCACAGGCCGGACCTGATGTTCCTCGATGGCCATGAGCTTAAGCCCTACAGGGTCGGTCCTTTCCCATATGGATCAACGAAAGAGTCCATTTCCAAGGGATTCAAGCACCTAGGATGGAATGCCAGGCCAGTTCAGCCGATATCACAGATGCAAGTTCAAGAGGGAATCTTCTGGCAGGTCATGGCCCCACAGGAGCCAACGCATTGGATCTACCAAATGAAGCATGGCGATATTCTCATTGCCAAGCAAGAGGATCAAAAGGAGACAGCCTTGCCGGCCACCAGCCACATCATTGCATCCAAGAAGACGATTTCAACGTTGAAGCAGCCACAGTCAGACATGCCGATTGACCCGTGGCTTCAAGCAGATCCATGGCAAGCGCCGCAGACAGGCCGGAAGCCGACCGCGACACCAACGATGCCGATCGTCACTCCTGGCCAGCTGGCTGCGCTCGAGTCCAGACTGGAGCAAAAGATCCATGCCTCCGCCAGTGAGACCAAAGAAGACACCATGCAGGTTGAGCAGACCTCGCGCATTGAAGCCCTAGAAATGCAGGTGAACACGCTGACGCAAAGTTTTTCGACCTTCCAAGGCCATCAAGCGAAGATCAATCAGCAAATCGCCAGCCAGTTGCAGGGATTTGAGGGAAGGATTGATTCAAAGCTGGAAGATCAAATGCAGCGCATCGAGTCGCTGCTTTCCAAAAAGATGCGCCACGAGTGACTAGGGGTCACTCCATGGAGGGAAATCTTTTCCTTCGCAGTGCCGAGGCATTCTT